CAAGTTAGGAAGAGATGTTTATAGGAAGCCAATATAGGTATGAGGCTAGCGGATAGCAAACATTTGACTAAATAGTTGGAACGGGTGACAAATTTATTCCTAGAAAATAATTATCCTTTGGGCCCTATTGAGATTAATATCCCTCCACTGAGGAATAAATAAATCGGACGGAGACCATTTAGTCAAAGATAGACAGACTGAGACCTTTTCCCATGTCCTAACCCATTATCAAGATCCGACTGCTATAAGATTGCTTGCTCATGTGGTCGATGTTATGTTGGTGGGACATGCTGACCCATTTTACAAATATTGGGAGAGCACAAAAATGCTTGTAAAGGAAGCTCGGTCCAACGGTCAGAAGTGGCCGAACACATAGTAGAAACTGGACATGAAATAGAATGATCTCAAGCTAATAGGTTTGCTGAACATAGTTCTCCTGTGGTCTAGTGAAATTAATAACTTAGGAAATACGTTGAATGTGAGGAACGGTGGTAGAAAGTTGAGTAGGTACTACTTATGCTTGATTGATAGATTGAAGGAAAGAGAGGGTGTTGAGTCGCCATCCAAAAGAAGGCGACTTAACTTATCAGCTCAGTGATGGTTTTACCTTCACTCACACTTCCATCATTATATATTAAGCTCATTAACTAAACCAGACGTGCCGGATTACATAGCCCTAGTCATATTTTCTCTTGGGTATTTAAACGTTAATAATTGTAGACTGAGAGGTCTGGACAAGTGGTTTCGTAAATTGACTTACATGCTTACAAGCTCATCCCATTATCTCAATCATACTTGCTTACGGACTTACACATTGTCTCTTGGGTCATTAGGCCTTGATGCTCAGCGCCTTTTAAGAGAGAGATAGCCTTTTGATTTAGGACTGTTGTTGCCGCTAACAAACACACATACACACACGGACACACGAGCAAAATTAGCAGGACCAGTATGAAAGATAATTAGCCCAAACACTATATCTATTTAGGTTTTTAATTTTCTTTTGGCTTAATTGAGTTTATATAAGAGGTAACATAGAGCCGGATAGTCTTCTTGACCTAGTGTTAACATGAGACTTTTACAGGAATGAGACCGAGCTCTGATGATGTCTATCATATGATTAACGAAAGCTTAGCCCGTTTTGAACCGAAATGAGGGAGGAATTCTCGTGGACTGCGTCAGCCTGAACATCGGAGAAAAGCTAAACGGCCGCAGTACAACGGGATTTATCCGTCCCCTTCTGATGAGATCGTCCTACGAATCACTTCTTCATGCACTTTCATACGTAATGAAAGTCTCCCCAACAATGTTATGTCAGAAGATTCATCAAAACTCAGTTTATATTCATATCTATAATTTCACTTGGTTCCGCTCCAAGCGTTATTTCACAGGTCTTAAGAGGCTCGTAATTTTTGCTTTACTGAACAGAGCCCCCCCGTTTTACAGATGTCTGGCATTCTCTTTCTGATAATCTTGATTAAACCCCTGTACGCTAAACTAACTTTTGACGTCTCTCTCTGGTCCCCTGCTGCCTGTCGAGTGAATTTCTAGTCAATTTGACTATAATGTCAAATGTGAAGCATCTTTGAATGTACCAAGTCCATGGCCCAATGCGTTCCATGTTTTGGTTAGCTGACGTCTGTTTGTCCTACATGCATGTATGTGGATCAAATAATTGATGTGGTCACAACTTTTGTCAATGTTAATAAACTATAGTATGATCCAGTAGTCCTGAATCTTGTTACAACTTCATTGATGCGTGTTTGTGTGTGTATACAACAACCCCGAAATGTCGACCCATGCATAATAAGCTGTCAGAAAACAGAACCTCATGCAAAGGTTTGTGGATTCAAAAATCGGAAGTGGCTGAACAAGTAGTCACTACAGGACACCCGATAGAGTGGTCTAAATCCCAATGTTTTGTCGTATATGGGGACCTCACAGCTAAGCGGAAGATCAGAAATTCGATTGAAATTAACAAAACAATTAATTTTCAGAATAGGAGGAATGAATGTAGGAAACTAAGTAAGATCTATATCTGGCTTCTAACTAGAATGAGAGAGCGAAGGAACGGGATCAGGAAGAGCCACTGAGTAAGAGGAAATGACTAGACTAAGTTGGAGCTTGTTTTTGAACCTAAAATTGTCAACTGATTCGAGGTTGTTGCATACAAAAGCAAACACGCATTCACGAAGCTGTAATAAGACCCAGGACTACTGGATCATACTCTAGCTTATTTGCATTGACAAACGTTGTCACAAGATCCCCCCTTGACCCACTTACATGCATGTATGGCAAGCATACCTCGGCCAATCAAATCATGAAATGCCTCATTAAGATAGCAATGTGAGTTATAAGAAGCAGGTAGGATCTCAGCTGACCACCTTCCTCGGTTAAGGGTTTTCGTCATTTTTCGTGAATAATGGTTTCTGGCTCTGATAACGTTCGTCACAGGGTGGACGAAAGATCAGCACGGAGTCATCTTGGTCGTAAGACGATGAGCCGAAGTATTCTTTGCACAATTAAACAGACAAAAGCCCAAGGCAACCCTCCTGCGATACCCGATGCCCTTTCGACCCACCTTCTCAAACGTAATGAAAAGTACAACAGTACGAAGTTAAATTTACTTTGTTCCAATGAATTTGCCCTTGCTCAAGTATTTTTGCAAGGTTGTTGTGCTTTTAATAAAGCTCTAGTCATTTACTTAATTTTATCTTTATTACTCTGTGGGTCTCTTTTGTATATGGCTTTGACATGGTCGCTTTTCGAATTCTGCTTTTATATTATCCACTTTCAGTGTTAAATTTTTACTTTCTTTCCACAACATTTCATTTACCATGACAGTCATTTTGCTTGGACCTTGTTTCTCATCTATCAATGCACTACAACATACGACCTGCGCTGGATGCGGCCGCATTCATGCTCGACGCTCTTCACCATATTCTCTCAAGTAAGTTGTTTCCGCGTCTTAAATTTTCTTCTTGATTTTTCGCATATTCTTTCGTATAAATTCAACGTTCAATGGAAATATTTCACCAGTATCCTCCAACTATCATCTATTCATTAGCCTCTATTAATTTTGACCTTGTTTTCGCAACTTGGTCATAATCGTAGGAAGACTTATAGAAACGCACCTTGTCCTAAGTCCATTGTATGCATAATTCCAAAGTCGGACCGTGGACGTGGTACATTCCCAGACGTTTCGCCGGCATCGTACTCGTCATCGTCAATGAGTTTTACCATTCGTAGCACTATATTACAACTCGTTAAAGAGACAAGTGAAGCCGATCCTCTGACCAAATGTGTGCTAAACAGTTATGGTATCTCCCATTCTGCCCTGGCCTATTCACATTTCTTATATCCTCCAATCACGCCGTCACTCACATTATTTTACTTGTCTTATTAAATGTGGTCGGTGTGGCCTTTTTTTAGCGGCTTTCATGAGTACGTTCCGCACTCCATGCTAGCCCTCTCATCGCCATTCATCCTTGTGCTGGGAATGCTGATCGGAGCAGACTTCGATATATTGTTACGCAGTCATTTCCTAGGTCTTATCACAGTCTCTCTTTCCCCGTAAGATCCGTCTGCCCTCTCTCTGGTTCACATATTTCACTCGACGCCTGCCACCCCATTTGTGCTAACTTGAGGCGTTATTGGTCCTACTCTCCGTCTGG